TATATATATATATATATATATATATATATATATATATATATATATATATATATATATATATATATATATATATATATATATATATATATATATATATATATATAGAGAGAGAGAGAGAGAGAGAGAGAGAGAGAGATAGAGAGAGAGAGATTTATCTAATATACATTTAAACTTAAGTGCTTTATCTAACACATGACTTTTACGACACAAAAGTCCATTTACTAAATGTATATTGCATTAAATGTCTTCTTATCGATGAAGATCTGAAAATGATGGCAGACGGTGTAGGACTTAACACGTACTTAACATTGGTTTGGGATGGTATAGGGCTTACAGGAATTTAGCGCAAGGTTTCTGGCGGTATGAGATTGATTAGAATTTTATATATGGTTTTTGATGATATGGGGATTTTGTGAATTTAACATGATGTGTCACTGAGATGTTTAAGAAATTTAGCTTGTGGATTGGGACATTATAGGAGTGATGCGATCTTGGTCCCATTTTATCAACGGCACTAAAACGGAGAGTGAGGTTAGCAATATAGACTCTAATATGTGCTTTACCGAATAAAAGTAACATTTATGTGCGTGTGAAATTATTTAAAAGGTAAAAAAATGATTTGGGAATATACTGTTAATGTTTACTCATATTTTTCAATCGTATATATTAAGTAAGGAATTAAACAATTTTAGAAAAAATGCACTTTGGATATTTATGTTTTTTTATTTTATTTCATATCGTTATTTTCCGTGCAAAGCCACTATTGTAATTTTACTACTATAAAAAGAAGTACATGTATTTGACTTTCATTAAAAAAAATGACCACGTTCCCATCTACAGACGTTTTTTTAATTCTTATTTGTTGTTATGAAAGATCAAGGTTAATAGAAAAAAGTGGGAACATATCCTTTTTGCATCGCCCACGACGATCATACGAAATTCTTTGCTAATAAAATAATAGATCTTACTTGGATGAAAAGACGCACCTCCATCCTGTCATTTTAATAATAAGAACGACTTAATATAACGGGACAAACCAAGATATCAATTATGACCTCCTAAACGGCAGATTGATCCACCTGTCTCATCATCGCCTCCTCTCATGATGTTTTGAGTACATTCATTAAAATTATCCCGTTCTTTACTGGCGATGAAGGTTGCGTTGTTCTTTTTCTTGGCTCACAGCGATTTCATGGTAACCCCTCCCCCAAACAAAAATCCCATAGGACATTATCTGTAAGAATAAGTAGTTCCTATAATGGGTGGTAACCACTTGATGCAACAAATCATCGCTGATACGTACTATAACGAGTAGATCAATCATCTTACTACGGATTTAATGTAGGTATGGCTCTATGTAGGGTCATTTAAGTTTCCTTTTCCCGGGTAGTTGGCACTACCCTGTGCTGACGGCACGGTGTCGGTGAATTTCAACTTGTCCATAAGGAAATGACTCTGACCCGACTCCAAAATAGAAATGTCCAAATATTAATAATGGGGTGGGATGAGTCAGAGGAAATTCAGATTAAGATAGAACCTAGTAGATTGATTGCTACTTAACGTGACGTGACAGTTAAAGTATCACAATACAAAAGTGCTCAAAGTAATGTCATGTTGTGAAGTTTTTCGTGATTAAGCAAAACAAAAACTACTGAAAACATGATTTTCTAGATTTCAACACAATTTATGTTTTAACAAGTTCGTTAACTTTGATTTAAAATATGAATTTGCTTCCCATTTCTATTAACCAAACGATTCTCTCTCCCCCCTCTCTCTCTCTCTCTCTCTCTCTCTCTCTCTCTCTCTCTCTCTCTCTCTCTCTCTCTCTCTCTCTCTCTCTCTCTCTCTCGTTTAGATTCACCATCATAGGTTCACATACATCGTCGCCTGCAAATGAATCAGCTACGTTGTTTCGCCCGTATCTTGCAACATAAATCTGAGAGAGAGAGAGAGAGAGAGAGAGAGAGAGAGAGAGAGAGAGTGTGTGTGTGTGTGTGTGTGTGTGTGTGTGTGTGTGTGTGTGTGTGTTGCGGACTGACTATAAGGCACCAGAATAGTTGTATCAATGTTGTTTAGATTTCATTTTGTTTTGGTGCAACACCCCGATACACATATAAACACTTTCGATTGGTTATTTTCCAACTTGCGTTTGAAACCAATAGGCAGTATTGACGTTTGATTAGTTTATATTGAAATGTCCACGTGAAAGTTATGCTGCAATAGAAATACTGAAACTTTGGGTATGACTATCTTTAACTTCTTTTAAAGCTATTCATGTGGAAACCGGGGATTATTTCACTTATGTGTCTCTGCTCCTACATCTGCTTCGGACAGATATATTTGCGATTACGGCTGATGTGGTAGATTTTATAGGCAGTGTGTGCAGTTATATATTTACGATTTATCAACATGCTAACATTGTCATAAAAATATTGTCTTAAATAATATAACAGAACATAAGCGAAACCATCAAGCTCAGTAAATTTAAAAAAAATTATATATACAATATAAATTAAAAATTAAAGACTCTAACTATATTGTGAACTAAATCATAGTTAATCATAAATGTCATATAAAAAGTCCAAAAGTTTATAATGTTTCAAATGAATTCCAATAATCTTGAAAGTCCTGATCTAAAACAACAATATAATCCAGAACAATTTAAAATGAGTTTTCAATAATCCCAAAGTAGAGCTGCATTCCAAAAAAGGTATGAGGTATTTATATTTCCAATGAAATATTTAAAATATTATGTAAATTATTCATTGGAATTACAAAGTGCTCATTGCCTTTTAAAAATTCCTCTCAAATTATACCTGAACACAACTCCATATGAAGTTTTATATGTTTGGGTTTGGGAGACTTCGTAGAGTGGTTGTAGAACATCAATGTGTTCCGAACGACTTGAATCACTTTAAGAGTTTTGAACGTTGCATTCCCATTCACTAATTAGATGGTCACCATAACATGACCCTCATATTTCCATTCGGAACTGGAATAAATGGACTGCTTTCATACGATGTTGTAATTGTTTGTATTTTTATACAGAAGGGAAAATTACGTTTCAAAGGAAACGCTAATCACTTCACACTTCAACTTGGTCCTAATATCACCTTGATTTATATAATCAACTTTAAGGTTCCTCTGCAGCCTTGAAAGGCTTATACCTGAAATGGTTGAGATGAAATTAGGGAGAAAACCGCCCCTCTACTTTTGCAAACCCTGTCTTACTGACAACAATTGCCGCATTACCAAGTAGGCAGAGTAACCACCGGCCTAGAGGCCCCGCGACAATGGATACAATAATATTGAATTGATTTGATATTGACGTATTAGGAGATAATTTGAAAGGGAGCCTCATAGATTTCGACTGCCTAAGGGCCTCCACACGGTTTAATCGGGCATTGCAGCCAATGCTTTTACAGTCAAAGCATTAAGGACTTCTTCAAATCCTCAAATGTTGTAATAATATCCCCAATTACATTAGAAACTTAAAAAATAATTGTTTTGTATAGCTACTCGTCACATTTCGCAAATAGGTGTGCCTTTCTAGCAATTTTAGAGTAAGCTGAGAAACATTCAATATATAAAGTAATGCTATTACATCGTACAAACCAGGATACAGTTTATATTTTCACATATCTCAACAGTTGAAGATTCCTTAATGAGGACAGCTTTATATGATTCATTAGTATTTTGACGATGCGTAGAGAAATTTCGACTGTAAGTACTATAGCGGTGGTCATATTTACGGCCACAGAATTCAAAGTAGAAAGTGTTCCACACTATCATCGCTTTGTCAGTGCTCGTAAATAACTATTTCTAATTGGCACGTTATACACAATCTATCCACATTTTCATTCAAATATAAAATGCATAGGCGTTTTTGTCTTTGCAATTCTATCAGAGAGCTTTATTAATGAATCTCCTCTTTGGCCGCTTTAAGGAATTTCATGAAATTAAAAGATAAACAAGCGTTTATTGAAGATGAGCATTATGGTTTTCATTTCTAATCGTTTATTACATTTTTTTTTTATCTTGCCAAAGAAATAACCATTTGGATAAACGTTGTCGAAAGCCTTTGTCAAAGAGGTTACTTTTTGATAGTTGATTGGGTACACAAACACTAGGGTTGGACATTTTTCTGTCTTTCACTTTGTAGTAAATAAACTTGTTTAAAGGTGAGTATTTTAAGAAGTTCAATATTGTCATCGATTCTTTAACGTGCTTAAAGGTAGCAATGCATTTAAACTATCAAAATCAATACTTGAAAATATATTCAATAAGGCTCATCTTTCCCTTTTCTGTCTGACTGTATTTGTAAGATTTTCATGTGCAAGAAGATTACAGTGAACAACGCCCTTCATGTACTGAATAGTCTTTCATATGGACACTTAACATTGAATGTAATGGGCACAAACCCACACTTAATAGATTTAACATCGCCACAACGTCTGAAAGTTCGACATTGCACCATATAGAGCTTTTTTTATGACTCTAAAACACATTTTTAAGCAAAGCTTCTAAAGAACCTTACTCTAGAATATAAATTATACTTTTGCTTTTAACCACAGGCAACATGGTTTGTCACATGGATCATTGACTTTTCAGCATCAGAATTAACATGAAACTTTCCAACCCAATGCATAAGGTATTCGTGAATTTTGTGAAACTACAAATGTCTGAAAATGTTAAGCATGATGTTAGGTACAAAAATAAAACAACTGTATCGATCAGGACAAGATCTTTATCAAGGTTACTGGTCTCCTTAACACTGCACGACTCTAGGTGCCCACTTATATGTTTCTTTATTTTCCCGTATCTGTTTTCTTGAAATGTTTTCCAATATATATTTTTGTTTTAATTTGTAAAGAACATGTGGCATGATGTTCCACCCAGTCACATCATCCTGACACTAGGCCAACTAGTCCTAACACTAACTTCTTAATGCTGAGCGCTAAGCGAGGCAGCTGTTAGTACCATTTTTAAAGTCCTTGGCATGACTCGGTCGGGGTTCGAAACCGCAACCTCCCGCATCCGAGGAGGACGCTATAACCACTAGGCCACCGGAGCGGTCATCGGAAGTGGGACAAAGATACTAGACCATGACCCTTTAACACATTATACCAGCCAAACGTGGTTTACATTGTGGACAATTGGACGCATATTCCACGTCTATGCATACCGTATGTGTAATGATTTGTCTAAACATTTCTGAGCCGCGGTAGGTTAATGGTTAGATTTCCTGAAATAGTGAGAATTTGAATCAAACCATCGAACAATCATGGGACGGCTACATTACTGTGTCTACAGCCAGGGTACTTTATTGCTTCATGCCATGCTTTGCCGCGAAACAATAAACCAATAATATAGCGCTTTATATAAAATCAATTTGCAGCCTTCTATTTAGGTCCCAAGAAAACTTAGTCGAAGTATCCAGTTGTTTAAAAAATAATAGATACTTCCGACTAGACCCAGCTGGTTGTGCGAAGTGCGCGATGCACACAGGCGCCTTTTCATTTCATGTTCGTTTTATTCGCAATCTAAAAAATAATTGGAAACACGACTGGAAAGGGGCCAAACATTCAACGCATACACAAGCAAAGCACCACGCGTCGGACCTACTTATGACAGGTAACGTTACAGACGGACATATATTACATAACTACAAAATACATCAAACTATTCTTTGAAAATATGAATTACTTTTCCATGATTATGGATAATCGTCGACATTTGTGTCTACTCTGATCAATGAATTAAGGGTTGTATGTTCGTGGGTATTCACCACTCAGTCTAAAGTAAAATATATGCAACTTGGATGACAGTGTAAAATTAAGTACACGGATGTTGTGATTCACGGAAGCTCAAATTTTATGCATGAATTAATTTTTATTTTATACAAATTCCCCTATGAAAGGCTTGTGGCAAACATATTTAGATCTATGTATTTGTCTACTGCCTCGCAAGGTGCGCAGCATTAAGAGGTTAGGATAATTTGACTGAGTGGTACATGATGTTACATGTCTACGGCATGATTAACACCCATTGCTAGACATAGCTATAAACTGCCCCACTGCAAAAATATTAATGATATGACTGAAAATGTTTTAAAGCTACATTCAAATTATCGGTCACACACATACACACACATACGCACGAACGCACGCACGCATGTAATTATCTATATCGAGATGACTCTTTTAGTATTGACTGAATGTACAACTTACATTAGTTACTGCAGGCAAGAGTTACAAATGGCAACTCGGGTATGTTTGGATGCTTAAAAAAATTGCACTCTGTGCATGGAATTGGAACATTTCAAAATCTTCTCATGTAGGAGAGCTTTTCATTTCAAATGTGACGTCGATGTGTAAGATATTAAAAACCATCGCACAGGTATTTGTTGTTTCATTATTTGCCTGTTTGTTTCTTTACGATTTTTACATTTTGAATCAATCTGTCTTTCTAATATTGGTTTTTGATCAAAACTGTAAGCTTATTAAAATTAAAAAAGGGTACCTTCTTTTTCCATTTAAAGATTTGACAATAATTTATTCATGCAACTTAGATCTATGACACCGAATCCTTACTTCGTTTAAAAGAAAGGAAGAAAATGTGCACACGCACATACAGACACACACACAGATACACACACGCACACACTGTACTGTATAAACAAATTTTGTGTTCAATTTCATTCATGCCAGCATTATTTTCAAAGAACTCCAGTTATTTCTATTTCGATTTAAGAATTTTGAAATAGTTTTCTTGTACATTGTCTTCATGATCATTGATAGAATACTGCTTATATTAATCCATTTTTACACCTGGAAAGCTCTCCTTTGTCTAATTGGACTTTAACGTGTATTTTCTTTGTATTAGTCGTAAAAGTAGAAACTAAATGACTTGATTTCTTGAATGGGTCTGCAGAAAGTTGACACAGGTTTAAAGAACAGTGATATTCATGAATGCAAGTTTACTCAGTTGAATTGTACATTTTACTTTTTAATTCATCCAGTTTTAAGTGATAGAAAATATTTTATTTTAAGTCTCAATCCTTAAATAGCCTGAATTTATGGACTGCTACATCAAATACATCATATGGTTTTGGCAGATGGGTGGTTGAAAAGAAGACTACGATAATCTCACTCCTGCAAGTATATATGGTTTTGGGTCCGTTTTCTTTATTTGTTGTCATGTCTGATCAGCTTTAGATTAATAACAAGACCTTTGTGGATACAACCATAAAGCAAATAAAGAATCGAAGCGATTCCACCGCAGTTATTTACGGAAGGTAGGATTAACTCAGGTTCGGATACAGGTTTTACCTGTGATCCTCGTTTTGACGTCAACTGGTAGAGATAAATTGACGCAAGGCGTTGCTGTAACCTTTGGACGAGGTACAACTTTAAATTATTCAAGAATCCAATCAGGTTTTCCTTGCCTCATTAGCAGAATTTAAAACAACAACAACAACAAACAAAAATCAAGAACCGCAACAAAACAGATAAGGAAACAACTATGAGGAAACATTATCTTTTACAAAGTTGAAATTCACCCTTCAAATGCATGATTTTATTTATGTATCGCATTCTCATTTATGGACAATATAATTATAGTCTTGATGTGCGATGTAATTCTCGTATATAATACCTACGTTATTATGTCTTTAAGGATCATATCAATGTCATTCATACATGCACCTCTATAAGGAATAATTTAATGGTCTTTTTTTTACAGTGCTCGAAATTTCTGATCGGTCGATCTGTTTACCTCTTCCACACAAATTATAGTCGATTCTTTCCTCTCGGTATGGCTTTGGAAGTGCTACAAAGCCGTAGATTGGCTGCTCGCAGCATATCATCTGGAAACAGCTGCAATCCCTGATATGATTATGTTGAGATCGAATTTGCTGTGATCTCTTCCCTTTGCTGACTTTTTCAGACAATGAAATGCTCTTTTATATAATGTTTGAAGAAAATCTCCTTGGATTCCTTGCTTACAGCGATGGTTTTGGTTGGGTGTTTCATGGAACAGCAATACGTTTATGGTTTTATTATGCTGAGGCAGGTAGGGTAATGTACATTTCTTACTGATACATCTTGGTATCCGATTGTAGCTGTAGGATGATGGGAATGGGACTAGAACCTTAATGTTTATTTGCGCTGCTGTACATAATGCCCATCGTTCTTGAGAGTTCTAGGCATGCCAGTAAAACGAAGCAATTCTTTTTTAAAAATCAGCAGAGACACTGGGTAAGGACGCGAAGAATAAAACACTGCAACAATTGATTAGACTGAGTATGCAAAAGGTCCACACCTTTATCTGAAATTGAAAACGAAAAAGCTGATGATGCACATTTAGCAACTAATGAAAAGTTGAGCCTATGAATTTACTTTTGCTAGCATTGTTTTCTGCCGCAAAAGTGATGTTGCGAAAAAAAGCAAATTACTTCATACATCAAGAATCGCTACAGGGCAAATCAAGAATCGCTACAGGCAAATCAAGAATCGCTACAGGGCAAATATGTTTAGTTCTATTAATCTGAATCAAAATGATCTGTTGTATCGTAATTTAATGAGCAGTGTCTTTTCTCATTGTGCCTATATGCAGACATGTACATTTTGGGTGAAAACACAACGAATAAAAGGTTTATTTTACTTGGCAACCATATTCTATACATATATAATGTTATAAACATAAATGGTTATATTTTACTCTGAAGGTTACATAAAAACCCTATAAATAGTTGTCTATTTTAGTTGTAATTTTACATGAGGTGAAATTATGTGTGAATCTCTAGTTAAATTTCAAAGCCCCAACATTAGAATTCTTGCAGAACCAAACGAATCAAGAAATATCACTTGATTTATCAAATTTTCAAACACAATAGTGTCACTTTTACACTACCACTGAAGCAAATATTTTATTGCTTGGGGTGAAACAACAAAACCTATTTATAGAAATGAAGAATAGTTGTCAAGAAACGGCTCAGTGTTGCAAAGGGGTTGACCTGAATACAAGTTACTCTAGGTACAAATAGAGACATTGACATAAAGAAGTGGTTAGAGACAGGGTTAGAAACATAGACAGAGACATAGACTTACATTGATTTATGGGCATAAATCTATCACACAAAAATGGACTAAAAGTATTTTTAGGCAAGATAATAGAATAGGTATCTTTTCAAGGCAATGGAGTGGTCCTGATTTGTTTTGTTAACACCATTCAATTAATTTAGAGGGCATCGCACGGAACCTCTTCTCTTCCTAAAACTTCGTCTGACCTTTGGACCGTAGGTTAAGACTCTTTTCAGACACCCTTGTCTCTACACATAGACCCTTTGTTTCCAAAGACCTGTCTCTATGATATGGGTAATTGCCCTTGATGATTCGACATACATGGGATAGTCCTGGTTGAATAGCTTCGACGATATAAAGGTAGATGATTCTAAGTTAGTCCACGTCTGATGACTAGAACAGGTGAATGGAATGTGCTGAACCGCGTTATTTATAGTGGAAGAGCTGATCGAAACGGATTGAGTTCTTTTACCAATCCTAACACACGTTATATAATTCACTCATAGTGAGAAGTGTCTTCCAATCCGAAGAGAGATGCCTGTGACGTTACATTCCATATATAGGATCATTGAATTACTTTGAATCTGTGCGACAGAGTTAGAATATGATAGCAACTAAGAAGGCAATAAATTGGGGTGCACTGGCTGAGAACACGACAAGTGATGGCAAATCAGTGGCTACTAAAACAACCACAATCCTACTTCCAGAGGAGAAAGATTTTAATTGCGATTTAGTGAATTGTCTCTCTTCACAAGAATTTGTTTCTGTACTAGTAATTTCTCCGATTTCTCATTTCTTACTATACGTCTTGGATTTTAAAGAGAGGAAGAAAGAAGAATTGGAGAAATTTTTGCAACAGCAGAAAGAAGCAGAACTAGCATTTCTCATTCAGCATCTACAGCGAGAAGAAGATGAGGAAAGAAGAAAACGACAGGAAGAATAAGAAGCAGAAAACAAGCAAGGTCTAGGAGAGAAGGATAACAGTGAAAGTCAA